AGGCTACGGCAGGTTTCACGAAAGTACTCAAGCATGAAAACAATTCACCTTAAAAGCTCAAAACCAGAAAGGATTAGAAAATAAAATAAATGGGGAAATGTCACCCAGGCTTGCTGAAGTGTGGGATCCCCTTAGAGAGGTTGAACAGAAAGAGGCTGATTCAGAGGGATGTGGAAACCAGCAGGGTCAGACTGCTCATGCCTTCCCATGCTGCAGCTGCTGCACAGCTGGATCACACCCTGGAGCTGTGGTTACTCAAAAAATAAGGCTGCTTCAGGCAGCAGAGAGCAGCGCAAGTCATCCCAGGGAGGAAACGCAACCAGAGCAGCTGCTCACAAACGTGGTTTACAATATGCAAAGCAACAGGAATCACTACAGTCCCCAGAACTCCTGTGTGCCCCTGCGATTTTAGAACACACTTTCTGACACCCCATGGCTCTCCCCGGCCTCGCAGCCAGAGCCTCCACCATCAGCCAAGGTGGGGACATCAGGCTCCGTCGCCAGAGCCCACCCCTCGCTCTGCAGTTCTCTGCTCTGCTGCTCAGGCTTCCACTTGAAGAAAAAGCCGCCTTCAAGCAGGAGAGGTCTCTCCAGAGCTCCCCCGGGTCACACCACGCACAGCGACAACTTCAAAGCAGCGTGCTGGCTCAGAGAGGTGCAACCTCCTATTTATAGCACACATTCTTTCAGACTCGCAGCGATTACCATCTCATCCACGGCTGCCGACATGCCAGCATCTACCTGGCATGTCCCCTCGTGCCCTCGGCACACCACACAGTACTGTGGGCGCCCACCTTGGTTTCGCTCGCTCTGTGTCACTTCGGTGCACATCCGAGGCCGGGATCCAGGCTTCTGGCTGAAGCGCAGCCGGTGGCCCTGAGCCGCAGGGAGCCCCCACTCCCACCTGGCACCAGAGGCACAGGCGGCAAAGTTACCTGATATGGCACCGGGTTTGCCAGAGCCACCTGACACCCGGACGCGCTCAGGTGATGCCTCGGACCCACACGGGGCAAGAGGAAGCAAAGCACGGGAGGACGGTTTCTGTAACCCGCTAAGACTGGTTTAGCCCGACCCAGACACCGATTTTTTCGCTGGCAGGGTATTTTCCTGCATCCTGGCCAGTGCCACACATGACCATCACGAGCAGATCCGAGCCACCCCGCTGCTCCAACAAAGGAATCATTTACAAGACGCTGCCCCGGGCACGCCTGCAGCTGAACTATGCCCAGGAGCCAGAGGAGCCGATTTCCTCTCCCCGACCCCCGGGGACCGCAGCTCCTCTGAGCAGCCCGTCCAACACCGGGCCAAGCCCACGCCGGCGGGGTCCGGCTGCGGGCAGGCCCCCGCAGCAGAGCCCGGAGCCAGCACACACCCACAGGCACCAGCCTGGCACAGGCAGTCGGGGAGGAAAGTGCCAGGCTCTGCAGAGGCTCACCACGTACTTTTGGCCTCTTGGTATGGGGAGCAGCCCACCTGCCCGTCACGCTCTTTCTGAAAAGCCAGTATGAACACTGGGTTTTGCTTAACATCACTCCCCCACGTGAGCTGCACACTGGAGTTTCCAGCTACCTCTTGCTTTGAGTCATACTGAGTTTTCACAGTGTTCAGTGAAATTTAAAGCATCATCTAACTACACTGATTTGTCTGAAACATTTTTAAGAGATGAGACTACTAGGTGTTGGCAATAAAAACTACCAGCAAGGAATACAATCTGTTTGTTAGCACTAATTAAAACTACTGGCAATAAAAACTACCCAAAGCAAAAGCCAGGGGTGCTGATGAGGTGTTGGGGATTTTTCCCTTTTGCTCCCAAGACACACACACAGAGGTTTAATTCTTCCACCACTCCCGAGGAGCTCGACTGCACCAAGATTACTGCAGCTTATTTCATCTATTTGTTCTTTCCCTGCGAGCAGCATTCCTCCTCCTGTGAGTGCTCAGGTGGCATCTCTCTATAAAAAAAGACTTCTGGCAGGTTAGACATGACCTCTCTTGCTGAGGCACAGTGAAAAGCCTTGAACTGTACAAGGTCTGAGAGCATGAAGCAAGATTCCCAAAGCCTGATGCCAGAGGCTTTACATGATGAGTTCTGCGTGCCACAACGTTTTTCCCTGACTCACTGAAAATCCTTATTAAGAAAGACCAGTTTTAGAAAGCTCTTCCTTCAACCGCATTAAGGCTTCTTGCTGATTTCCTCCTTGCCCCCACACAGAAGTAGTTTCCAACAAGAGAAAAAAAAAAAGCACATGTAAGGCAGCCAGTTCAATTGGAAAGCTTCCCTCCCCTTTGCAAAAAGGAAAAAAAACCCACACCCAGAACATAGTTATGACATTTACAGCTCTGTTTTGGAAGAGCTGCAACGTGTAAGACGTGTTTGGAAACCAAATTCACAGCTGCCAGGCAGCCAGTTACAGTTTGCCCTATTAGGAAATAAAATAACCATATTTGCAGTAATTAAGACTGATGAGACCAAGTAATGACTGCAAGTATCACATCTGCTCCCCGTAAACGTCTTGACTAATCTGCAGGAATGGGTAGCCTACAGCAACCCTCCTCTGCGCAGCAATGGCGAGAGCACAAATTTGGGCTACTCAGGCAATGAGGACTGTATCATCTCGAAACAGATCCCGCAGAAGACTAAAACCCTTTCCGTCTCCCAGGTCCTACACACAAGCACTGTTATCCCTTCTCCGGAGGGGCCTGGAACAGGAAGATTTCAAGAGTTTTAGTTACATAATGCGGCAAATTGCTGCACTTTTAAAAGCCCCAGATTGGCAGGACTCCAGAGCAGAAAGACAGAGGCTCACATTTATAAAGCACTGCAAATGCCGCAAAATATTTCTGGGGCAAATCTTTGTGAAAGTGTCCTCACACTGCTCCTTTTTGGGGTCAGAGGAAGAGGGATGTCCCCCGCCCATGCAGGGGGCCATGCCCAGGCACCACGCACCTCTGCCTCCCCTCACACATCCCTCCAGCTCAAGGCTTTCCTACGCCGGGCATACGCTCACCTGGCATTTGCTGCCACGTGAGCTTGCAAAACCTTTCCCACAGAGCTCGGAGCGGCTGGCAGAGCTGAGGCCAGAGAAGGGCAGGCTTCCCCGCTCGGCCGCAGGGCGGGCAGCAGAGCCCCAGCTTCTGCTCCCGCAGCCCATCACCACCCTGGAGCCCGCACAGGCTGGCAGGGCTGCCCTGTGCCAC